GGGGGGGGGGGGGGGGGGCGCAGGCTGGACTGGGGTCCCAGAGGCATGGATCTACCTGCACCACCTGCACTTGTCAGATGAGCACCCGTGGTCTGTTTCATGAATAATGAACCAAGGGGCAGGTGTCCCACTCTGTCCACGGATCCCACACCTGCCTCCCCTACCCCGCCCCCCAGGGCCAGGCCCCCAGAGGGTGTAAGATGGATGCTGCTGAACGAACAGAGGGGTGGAGGAGTGACAGCCCCCTCCCACCAGCAGGGCCATCCCAGCTGGACTCAACGACAAGCCAGGGTGGCCTCTCTCATCAGGGAGCAAACCCTTAGCCACCACAGACACTCTCTCCCTGGGTGCCCATGGCCTCTGCCCAGCCCTGGCGGACTGGAGGGCAGTCCTCCTGCCAGGGCACAACCTCACGCTGAGTGGCAGAGAGGCCAAGAGGTAGTGGGTGCCCAGCAGGCTGGGGGAGCAGGATTGTGGGGCACAAAAAGCAGAGCTGCTGGCTGTCACTCATCCCAACTTCCCCAAACCCAGCCCACATCCATTGGCCACACTGTGGCCCAAATTCCCCAGCTCCTCCCTTGACCACCTCATCTCTGGGGTAGTCAGTGGCCAGACCCTGGGGACCACATCAGGGATCCAGAGGAGGCCAAGACTGGCTGGCTGTCCCCGGAGGCAGCTGTGTGGGAGACAGCACAAGGGGTCCCTGCGGTTGTTCCTCCACCCAGCCTGCTTCTGGGCCTATTACTGGACCCCGCCCACTCTGGGCAGGAGTGCCGGCTGCACACAGGCCTCCCCCAGCCCCGGCGCTGGAAGGCAGGCAGCCCCGGTTTTCCTCGGAGACCCCACCCGCCTCTGCACGTGGGCAGGGCCGTCCCCACCCCTCCCCTCACATGCGCTGCCGCCGCAGACAGGGCTTCCCTTAAATCTCCCTCCGGAATCTCCTTCGAGCTCCCCGGAGCCTGAACCGGCGCTGGGGTGACGGAAGGGGAGGGAGGAGAGGAGGGAACAGGAGGCCTGGCTGGGCTTCCCCCTCCGGACTCGGCATCCCTCTTGCACAGGAGCTGCTCCCGAAGCCTTCGCCCTCCGCCCCTGTCGTCGGCACCTGTCCTGGGCGCTGGCCCGGGGTGCACCCCCGGAGTCCCGGC